GCACTATTAAAAAGAAAAAAAAAAAAAAAAAAAAATTCCACGAAATCCAACGAAAAGTGCCAAGAAGGAAATTTATGATACACACGATGATTCGTAGAATATATCTTTTCTCCTCGCAAATGTTTGAACTTCCAGTCTTTTTCCGATTCTTATCGCACGTCAAAACTCTCCTCGGGAGGTTACACCTGAAGAACATGCGTCAATGAGCGGAAAAAAAAAAGAATACGAAACGTCATAAAAATAATAAAGAACCTGCCACATGCCAAGCTAAGCCGACCCACGACGCTGATAAGAGATCTCGTTTTTTATTACACACACGTGTAACACACACATATAATTAGCAGTAGGGTACTTATAACGTAAAAAAGTAGCAATCTCATTCTCGACGCGCTTGTGTTTTCCCTTCGCGCAAAAATCATATTAATCACCATCACGTATACTCACACACACGCGGGCTCGTTTCTCAATAATTGCACTAGCAGACAAATACACACATATAACTTGACACACCGCGTACAGAGATAATATGGATGTCAAGAGAGAATCATCATTTATCGACATCATGATCATCATTCCCCGTCTCTCTGCACACGACACCCCNGCAATCTCATTCTCGACGCGCTTGTGTTTTCCCTTCGCGCAAAAATCATATTAATCACCATCACGTATACTCACACACACGCGGGCTCGTTTCTCAATAATTGCACTAGCAGACAAATACACACATATAACTTGACACACCGCGTACAGAGATAATATGGATGTCAAGAGAGAATCATCATTTATCGACATCATGATCATCATTCCCCGTCTCTCTGCACACGACACCCCCACCATCCTTGACAACAGTCTACAAAATGTGTATCGGTAGACGCTCTCTTCTCGCGATGCCCGTACACACGCGCGTAATGTGTCACGCGTGTACCCAGTCTTTCGATGATAACGGGCTCCCTCAACGTGTGTACTTCCCCTCTCCTTGCGGGAGGGGGATCACGGCTACGAAGGCTGATAACGCGCTTATCTCTGCCGTATAAATATCGGGCCCGGCGGTCGCTTCGGGCTCAGAGTTGCGTCGAAATCCCCCCGCAGTGCGCGCCGGCAGTCCCGAAAGTCTCATTGGCACCCTCTCTTTTCATTTTTCCTCGACATCGCAGTACTTTTTCGGGCGTTTCCCGATACTTTTGCTGCTGAACTCGGGCTCGCCAAGTTGGGTTATTGGCTTCGAGTGCTCGCGTGCCGATTTTTCCGGGGGACTCTATAAGGGTCTAATCGCGCGCGGTCTGTGTTCTCACGCGCTCCGACCACGCGGCTCTTCGACTCGGGGTTGGTTTTTGTTGCATGTGTGATCAAGACGGCACGAGAATTACGCCATACGTAAAGGTTCGTACATCTACACACCAGTCATTGTTTTTTCCCTGCATTGTGCACTTGCCAAGGAAAAACCGAGGATAATGGAGTTTTTCCGATCGATGCGCTCGGTTTCTCGGAACGGTATGGTTTTATTTTTGCTCTTTGTCGAGCGCTCGCGTGACAGAGAGACGCTCCGTTATCAAAGCGTCGTTTTTCTTCGGAGCTCTTTTAATGCCTGGTTTTATGATTACGTTCGTACAATTTTATGTTGCACGTTTCGGTGGTAGGACATATTTTTCTGGCATTACGAACTAATGAATGTAGTAAAATATTTTTTATTTGCGCATTTTGTTCGTATGGTCCTGTTTTTGTGAGAAAAGACGTAATTTAACAACTACGGGGAAATGAAAAAGTAGTTGGCTCCAAATTATATGCTTATTTTTTAATAGATAGAACAATGATCGGTTTGCACAACGATTTCTTTTTTTTTTTTCCGCTCTCGGGTGGTTTTGTGAGGCTGGTACTTCCTCGGGCGAAAAAGCAGTTTTCCGGAACTCGTTCGAAAAGTCTCCTTTACGAACCTCGTTACGTCCCTCGCCTTCGGCTCGGGCCGCAAACCTCTCGGTTCGCAAACAGAGACTTTTCAAACTCGTAGGAAAACTATCATTTTTTAACCATATTTCTTTTACTCACTTAACTAATTTACATTTTTCCACGCAATTCACTCGAGTAATTAAATATTTTAGAATATTCAAGCAATTATAATCTTGTGAAACACAGTAGGTGCAACATATACTTCACTAGAACACAAATATAAATTACCTAAGACCAATCAGCTTTTTCTGATAGCCACATATCTCTTTCAATATTTTTAATTTCTAAACTTACTAATGACGAAATGGATTGTAGTACAAATGGCAATGTATTTTGCATCAATGAGGTGTATATAAATACTATGACATTGGCTTATCGCTTCGAAAGAAATTTCTGAAAAATGAATTATTCCTAACTGATTAAGTGATACTTTATTATTGACTTTTTTGAGGTATTAACATTACTTCCATACTAGGCGCTTGAAATTCATCAATTTTAAATAGTAAAAATTACACAACAAAATGGCAAAAGAGAAATTGTTATTTTTAAATTCGTAAAATTTTCCCTATGTCTAGTAATAATTTTTTTCTATACAAACACAATACTCAAATCTCAAAGTAATTTCAAGTTATTTTGTAGCATTCGACAAAATAGTATTAAAGCATTTTTTGTAAACGCCAAACAAATTTTACCATGATCAGATTAATTACACAATTTTTGTACAAAACATTTTTACACCAATAAATTAATTTTAGCTGTTTTTTTTTATGGTAATAGCGTATTACCTATACAACTTTGTGATAAAGATTTTTCACTGCTTAAAAATTAAAGAAAAAATAATTTCTCCGAAAATAACGTGTACAGATAACGCCACGCGCGTACCCCAAATCAAACATTATCAAGCTCGAAAATACTCCCACTATAGGTAACGTATCCCTGGCACTTACTCCTATTACGCTTCTTCGAAAGATAAGTAGGTTTTTTTGTCTTCGACACGCGCGCAACTGTCTAGCCATCCCTCACGACACCGATGTAACCAAAGATAAACAATTAAAAGACGTAACGAGTAGACAGCCAAGTATCTATATTACAATCCGGAGAGATGGTGTGCTTATGGAATTTTTATCTCTTGCACTATTAAAAAAAAAAAAAAAAAAAAAAAAAAACTTAATTTTGTTCTGTTTCAGGGTTCCGTCTGCGAGAGGCTGGTCGACCAGTCTGTTGTTGGGTGCTTGAGCTGCGGCAACTGGAAGTTGTCCCTGAACGCAGAGCCCCCGTGGCTTTGCTAGCACCCCTAAAGCCACAGATCTCACAATAAACCCGCCTCCCCACGACTCTCATCATTTTAATTGACAGCTGCCTCGTAAGTATACTCAATGACACGTAAATAAATTAATTTCGTAATCATCATTACATATTTCAGTCTATTTTTTTTTTTTTTTTTCAATCGACTTTTTCATAAAATAAATAAAAGGAAAAAACCGTATGAATATCACGAGCATTGAAAATAATTCTTAAATGTAGTTGCGAAAAAATGTACGAGGAAGCTTTTGTTAAAAAATTACCAGTGAATTTTCCTGGTTCGCAACATTCTGCCGTGAAAAATATCATATACTCAAGTGATTCATGCTGTTTTGATGCTGCACCGTGTTAAATCGATGTGATATTTGAACAATTAATTTCGAAATTATCTTCATTACGAAACGTATGAAATATTGTATCAGACGACGATATGGCAAAACTGGAAACGAGGAAAACTTAATTTTATTCTTATTAAAATACATGAATAATGGTTTAATTAAATCAATCGTTCTTTACTTTAACGGAATATCTCGAATGTAACGTTAAAAGAAAAGTGTTTGTCTGACTTGATTTACAATTTGACAATACGTAATATCATTCCAAGCTGTCGAGTGATAATCGCAGTAAAAATTTCCACCGGAAAAATTAAATAGAAATATGTATTTTTCAACCGTGACCTTCAGATACAATACGTTATCTCTCAAACAACTTAGTGGTTACTCAAGTGTTCAAAATTAAAATACTTTTGCAAATTCATTGTCAAACATTCGCCTCTTGTGCAAAGTACTGATTTTTGGAAAAAACAATAAAATGTTCACCTGAAAAAATATGCGTCATGCATAATTTCTAAATTCATGACACATTCAAACTCGATATTTTTCTTTCTGGCGTACGTACGAAAAGAAAAATAAACTAAAATCAATAATGTACCAAAGAAAAATCCAGAAGCAATGATGCATCACTTTTCTGTTTCAGTTTGCTGCCTAGCTACCACAGAGTTTTATAAATTTTATTATTTAGTTAAAAAAACGAAAGAAAAAACCCAAAGTATCAAAATGAAGGTGATGAACCAGGACGAACGCATCCACGTGCTGAACGCCACTTCCACTTTGATGAGTGTAATCCAAGACATCGCAAGCAGCGGCCTGCAGGAGGAGGCCTTTTACGTTCTCGACATTGGTGACATCGTCCAGAAATACCAAACCTGGAACAAAATGATGCCGCGCGTCAAGCCCTACTACGGTAAGAGAAAAAAAAACGGATCGTCTTTGCGTGACGTTTTTGTACTTTTTACAAATTAACCAACTAACCGCGATAATTTTCTCAGCCGTCAAATGCAACGACCACATCACCGTACTGGAAGTACTAGCCTCGCTGGGCATAGGATTCGACTGCGCGTCCAAGGTGAGTCATTTTAAATCACTAATTTTTACTCTGTGAATTTGGAACAAGGAAAAATCGTTATTACAAAGTTATAACACAGTAGAAATATTATACTTTTTTAAATTAGTAAGAGTTTTACTATAGCCGCACTCGAACAAGGATATTTCTTAATTTTTTTAATTATGATTGTTTGCTATGTATACATAGTGCATTATCTATCTTAAAAATTTATGTACGTACTATACTTTTTTCATGTACAAAATGAAAGAAAAAAGAAATTTTTAAAGAAAAAATAGTGAAAGTATTTAAAATAATATTTTAATATTTAATTTCAAATACTTTACAATAAAATTTAACGCAAAAACTGTTTCGCATTTATCTTTTGAAGAAAAAAAATTTCCCAATAATGTATTCTGAATGGTAAAAGATGAAAAATTTTCTTAGTAAAAAAAAATGCCCTTTATTTAGAAAAAAAATTTTTTTTTAATTATTTAACAATTTGTAAAATCGTTTGGAAAAATCGATGATGCGTGTACACAAGTAGATTGTACGTTTAATCGTTTGGCTTTTTTCCCCCATTTGCATCTTCATACCCTCGGATTAGACACCGTAAAATCTTACGTTTTACTGATTGGAAAAATTTTCACTACTACGAAAACAGTTAGACTTTAACTAATTAAAAGTAAAATATTTTCCCTCCAACTGTTTGCACTGTTTGCTATAAGTACTAAAGATTTAGAAAACAAAAACCCTTTTGCTCGTAGAACGAGATCAACAAGGTGCTGGACATCGGGGTCGACTCGTCCCGCGTGATCTTCGCCAACCCGGCCAAGCCCGCCTCGCACATCCGGCACGCAGCAACGGTCGGCGTCGATCTCATGACAGTTGACAACGAGAGCGAGCTCTACAAGATAAAAAAACTCTTCCCCACCGCTAAGGTGAGCCACATTAAAATGTACCACCCCTTCTGAGGGCGCCTTCACTTCAATTGCTTCCCCAACTGTAAAAAATAATAAAAATGTCCAGATCGTGCTCCGTATCCGTTGCGACTCCGAGGTGGCCCAGTGCCAACTGGGCATGAAGTTCGGCTGCGATCCGACTTACGAGGCACCGGCCCTCCTCCAGCTGGCCCACGCGCTCGGCCTCGACGTCGTCGGCGTGAGCTTCCACGTCGGCTCCGGCTGCCAGGACCCCCCGGTCTTCAAGCGCGCCATCTGCCACGCCAAGGGCCTCTTCGACCTCGCCTCCAAAATCGGCTTCAAGCCTTACCTCCTGGACCTCGGTGGTGGCTACCCGGGGGACAAGGGCACCAGCATCGAAAAGATCGCCAATGTCGTCAACCGCGCTCTGGCCGAGTACTTTCCAAGTAAGACCGGTGTACACCACGTTTTGCCCCAATAAGCGGCTCTTTCGCAACATCGCCTTCCTTTCTCGTTATTTCCTTCCGGTTACACTTAATTAAATCCAACCGTGTTAAAGTATACACTTTTTAAGAACAACCAACCACATTTCACCCAAACCGCTAAACTGAACTATTGTTTTTAACCAAAGATTGGCATAAAAAGATTATACATATATATGGGGAGTGAAATGTTTGTGTCACAGATTTAACACACTTGTAAACGGGTTGAACCTGTGACAGCCAAGTTTTTTCACTCCACGTATAGCATTGGTTTTTCTCATTCACATGTGTCCAGTTTAGTGAGCCACTTGGTGTACCATAGACTTGGTTGTTGTTCAAATGTTAAACGTGTACTTTAACACAATTGGATTTTGTGAAACAACTTGTAAAACGCGGACGGGCAGAGTGATAATACGTTTGGTCGGTGCGTTACAGCTGACGACGTGCAGGTGATAGCCGAGCCAGGGCGTTTCTTCGTCGCCTCGGCCTTTACCCTGGCGACCGCGATCCACAGCAAACGCGGGGTCCGCTCGGAGGGCAACGGCCCGGTCATCCACAACATGTACTACATCAACGACGGGGTTTACGGCTCGTTCAATTGCCTGTTGTACGACCACCAGCACGTGACCCCGGTGCCGTTGATCCCGGGCCACGGCAAGCTCGTACCTTCGAGCATTTGGGGCCCGACCTGCGACGGCCTCGACCAAGTCGTCGAGAACGTCATGCTCCACGAGATGGACCTCGGCGAGTGGATCGTCTTCGAGAACATGGGCGCCTACACCCTGCCCGTCGCCTCGCCCTTCAACGGCTTCCCCATCCCCAAGGTCCACATAGTCGCCAATCAGGAAATCTGGTGAGCTTTCCGTTTATTTGTTTATTTATTTATTTATTTTTTTTTTTTCACTTCCTTCAAGCATTAGGTACGAAAAAACTAAATGGTAACATATGATTCGCGCACAGGGTGGGACTGAAAAACTGCCTGCCACTGACGGAGGAGCACTTTGTGATCGGCAACACCCCGGACAACCTGCAGCTGGGCCTCGACATAGGCGGCACCGACGTCAACGCCTGGGCCAACCCCGGCATGGGGCTCATGGTCTCGCCCGAGCTCAGCTCCTGCGAGGAGGAGTTGCTGTCCGTCGAGTCGATGGACAGCCCACCGCCCTACCTTTGCGACTACGTCGAGATCAACCCGATCAACTGAGACAGACGACGCACACGCCGTTACGCTGATTATTACACCCCTGTACCGATATCACCTCAAAGTCTCGCCGTTCCGTTGCTCCATCTTTTTCTACTTTTGCGTTTGTTCGCACGTGTGTATTGTACGTACGTCGCGCGGCTGGTGCCTGTCCACCGTCGGGGCTTGCAGGGCGTGTCGTGCTTGACGAGTTTTCCAGTTAGGTGAACCGGGGCTGGCTTCGATACGTCGATCGGTTAATACATCATCGGGACGAAAGAGCTTTATTGTTGCTACATTGAATTTTTACGGGCTGGTGGGAGCCCATCCGTGGGAATGCTACGCGTACACACGTGCGGACGAGAGACTTTTATAAGTGTTACAAGAAAAAAAAAAAAAAAAAAAAAAAAAAAGAAGAAAAAAAAAAAAAAGTACAACGCAGCTTACGTCTACGTGTACATGAGCCCCCAGAGGGGATGCAGCGAAATTTTTTGATTCTTTACTTTTGATTTGGGATTGATATTACACGTGTACTATTATACATTAGACGTATATTCGTAAATTTTCTAAAGTAGCGTATAAGTGTCATTGACGCGGTATAACTTGTGTATTGTTGTCAGCTAATGGTTAACCTTTGACTCACGATCCGAACGGTTGTTTGTTGGTACAATTTTGTTGATGATGCACCGTTGGGATGTTGAATTGTTCAGAACAATGGAAGGGCTTACGCGTAAACAAACAACGTGTTTGCGATATCGCGATGGTGACAAGTTTGGGAATGTGGAGGGAAGATTGTGCAAAGAAAATGAAGGCGAGAGACGGAGAAAAACCAATGTTTTTCAAGGCAGGGATCGAGTAATTCGTGTTTGGAGTAGTACTTAATTGAGTGCGATCGTTAGTTGAGTAAACGAAAAAGAAGAAAAAAAAACAAAAAAAATATATGTCGCAAGAAACGTAACAAGTTATAAGTCGATCGTTGCTCTTTTCACGTATTTAAATATCTTATACTAAATGTGCAAAACTTACAACTATGACAAACAATAGTTTTTCAATTGGCTCATCGCATCGAATCGTAACATATTGTTGCGAGCATTTTACTCTATAACAAAAAAAAATGAAATTACACGTGTCGTTCTAGCCGATTTTACAACTTGTGTATATGCTACGAGAAATACGTGTAAGCCGATCTTCTTTTTACTGCCTTTGCATTCTTCTTCGTTTATTTTTCATTATTATTATTTTCTTTTTAACGTTAAGTCACATGTGTTTTGATTTTACTTTAGTTTTCTTTAATCACTTGACTCGGGGCTTATGGGGCCGCACGAGCGATTATACAGTCAAATGGAAGGATTGTACGAGAATTTCATGGAAAATTCGAAACTTTTCGATCGCTAATTCGGAAAAAAGCATAATAATTCCTTATTCATTATTCTCTGTCAAAGTGAAAAAAAATCCAATATCTTTTTTTTTTTTTTTTTTCAATCTCGAGTTTTGGATGCACAAAACGTCCCCGAAGTTTTGTACATGAACTCGGAGGGCGAAAACTCGTGGATTCAAATGTAGCGAATATGATAATTGGGTTTTATAATTGGACGATAAAATTGAATAATCAGAAAGACAAACAAAATTTCAACTCTGTAGGTGTGCTAGGAACTCTTAAAAAGGCATTGAGGCAGCTGTCATAGGAAGCAAAAAAAGGACAATTAGGTTTTATCATTACTATAATTATAATTATCCTTATTGTATCATATATAATCATCAATTAATTATTCCTTTTACTTAATATTGTCATCATTAAAATTATTGTTATTGTTGATTATTCGTGAACTGTCACTTGTAATGAACTACTGTAGATCAATAAAAAATGTATTTGCAGACGTACCACAAAATATGGTTATTCGTGTCGTTATTTCTCGTCCTCAAAAATGTATATCCTGTAATGATCGAAAAAGAATAAAATAAAATAAATAAACGCTAAAATATCGCATGTAAACAAAAAATAAAAACCGGCTTGACTGAATATACACGTATTATGATTATGCTGATAATACGGAGGCATCAAACAAACAATGCGTGAACGACTTTTCCCTCAAATTTCAATGTCAAATCAGTTTATCACCGAGATAAAGATCGTCACTGCAAAGGTAAAAAAAAAAATTTACAGCCATCAGTGAAAAAAAGTAGAAGAGAACGAGTGTTGGCAGCCACGATTGCGCAACGGATTTCAATCAAGTTTTCTTGTCACGCTGCGCTGCAGCCCAAAATAAATCGGCAGATCGCTCTGCAGTGACACGTGGATTTTACGGATACATAAGTACCGTCCAATGATTTTTCAACAAAATTTAAAAAACTCTGGGATGAAATTCGATCTTGATAAGTTTTTTGTTGCATAAAAATTGATTAATCATTCCAAAAATTTGTATACATTTGGGAACAAGACGAGATTGATCGGTTGTTTATTTGTCAATCAAGCACGTTATGTGAGTGATTCTCAGAAAATTGTCAACGGCATAAATTAATATTGTAACTTCCGGATGAAAAGAAACATGGATGGGGTTTTAAGAATCGATAGATCGAGTCTGTTTCAGCTATTTGTGTATACATATAGTGGTATACGACATTTTAGATCAAAGTACATTTTTCCGATGCTTTTTTAAAATTTATAGCAATCTACTGTCAAATATTATTTGACCAGTATTGAAAACATTTATTAGTCTATTGGATTGTAAGGCTTTAACTGTACTAGAAAATATGTGTATGATTGCTCAAATTAAATTAAATATCGCAAAAATTTTGTCACCGAGTAGCTACAAACTCAGACATACTACCAAGTCTTGAGTGCCCATTTTGGACACAAACATATTTGCATTATGATTTTTCTAACAATTACAAGTAAGAAAGATCCAAAACGCTTTATCAGTACAAACTTTTTGATTTATCGTTGAATGCAGCTATATATATATACATATATTTTTTTTTTTTTTAAACAAAATCTTTGAAACAAAATAAAGAAAAGACTTCATAATGTACATTACTCTGATACAATGTAAGGATGTAAACAAGTGTAGGTAAGCACCAAAGCAAATATTGCCATCAGGTGAAAATCACGAAAATATAAATTTATATTTTTCCGAGTACGTCACGATGGGCAAAGCATATAATTCATGTCGATTTAATGCTTGAGCGGATATTTCAGACATTCTTGCGTTACACAGCTTCTTTTACAAAGTTGCCCCGAAAACTTGACGAAAGTAATCCTAATTTAGTAGCTGGTGGTGAAAGCGAAGGTTTTTTTCCTAAGATCGTCGAAATCGGTTGGAATACTTGCGCAACGGATTAGAGACTCGATGATTGTTTGATCGAAATCCAAAGTTTACGACTGAATCCACAATCAATCAATCCTTCTTATACATGTATATACATACACGTGTTGCAGAGCAGCCGATCGAAGCATTGACCCAAACAAGAAAAACAGAGAAAATTAGACTCGTAATGCAATACAATGGACTTTTTGATCGTATTTCTCATTTTCTCTTGTTCTCTTGCAAAGAAACGATGCCACTCAAATAATGATCGATTGAAGCATCTGAAAGAAATATCAAGGAATAATCTAGTTGAAAAGAGGAAAACGTTGGAAATTTTGATTAACAGCTAGTCGAACTTCTTTTACTGATTTTTTTTTTTTTGTACACAGTAAAGTTTGAAAAATAGTGGTAAAAGAGATGTAAAAAACTTTGTAGGTCTCGAACTTTAAAAAAAAAAAAAAAGGTTTACTTTTTACAAATTAACTTTTTAATAACAAAAATAATGTTAAAAACTCTAAATTCACCGAATAAAGTATTTTATATAAACAATTGAAAAAATATGAGTAATATAACACGAATGGCAGTATTTTTTTGGCTTTATCAAATTAGAAAATTTTTTGTAACCTGAATATACTACATTTTAATAATTTTTAAGTTATCATTTTACCATTGGTATTGATTGAGTCTAATCCACATATTAATTATGGCACCTCTAGCTGCCTATAGAACATGTTTCACTTTCAATTATTTAAAATCTTATAAGAACCATATATATATATATGTCACATGTGTTTTGATTTTACTTTAGTTTTCTTTAATCACTTGACTCGGGGCTTATGAGTAATTTCAAGTTATTTTGTAGCATTCGACAAAATAGTATTAAAGCATTTTTTGTAAACGCCAAACAAATTTTACCATGATCAGATTAATTACACAATTTTTGTACAAAACATTTTTACACCAATAAATTAATTTTAGCTGTTTTTTTTTATGGTNTACGTACCTTCATTACATACACGAGAGAACGGGAGATCATGTGTGTGCACACGAGGTCTTTGTCGAGCACAGCATATATATATATATTTTTTTTTCGTTGCTCTTCTGTGTTTGCGTGTATATTATGATATTCAATAATTACACGTCGAAGCGAGAATATTTTGTAGTCTGAGAGCCATTACGTCAAACGATTTCTCCTGTACCTCGGCCCAATACACGTATGAAAAGATGCACGTGTTTCCTTTCAAGATAAATTGTAAAAAATAATAAAATCACTGCAGAAGGGAGGATATTACACTTAATCAGGGTCTCCCTAAATTATTGCATCTATCGCTTTTTAAATGTATTCGCAGGGACGTAAAGGTGTAATTGATAAATCCGCAATTTGCTGATGGGAAGTAAGTATACGCGAGTGCGAGCTATATGCCACAATATATTTCTCGCCGGCAAACTCGTCCGGCTGCATCTCAATACGTGTACATATTTTACGCGCAAGTTCAAGGGGACCGTCTTATATTATGTAAAAAATGCATGTTTTACATACAGTTTAATGTATAATTAATTATATATCCTCCAAAATCGATCCGCACAACTCCGTGAAGTCGATCACATCAATAAGGAATCATCAAACACTTGGTCTATGGTTTTTATCAAAATTCCAATAATCAGCAAAGAAGAATGATAATTAATCTGCCAATTCTTTCGGGCCTATTGCCAGTGCACACCCCGTTGTACTACCATCCTCACACGCGCGTGTACACGAGTTGTGGATTGCAAAATGAACCAAAGGGGCGTTGCGCAATTGTTGCAAGCTAGAAAAAAAAAAAAAAAAAAAAAAAAAACCAGCACACACCACGTCGAAAGTACATCCACGGGCTTCGCGCATGGACGATCCGATGTACAGCTCGCGCAGTTTGTTGATACATAATAATACACGTGCGCGTATACAGACAGACAGGACCTAATTACGTATACATCCTCGCTGCACGGTCTTTTTTTCGGGACGGGCTCTTTTTTTTTTTGTTCCTTCTCATTACTCGACTTGCGCAAGCCAATATATTATGCGGGTAAGCATCGTATGTATACGCGATCTTGCTCCGAGCGATGTGTCGCGATCAATGAAGACAGTTTTTTGGTGCTCCGAGGCTCTTTAAGACATCATTTGTGGTTTGTTTTCCTTTATCTCTGTTTTTTTTTTTTTTTTTTTTTTGCATAAGGAGTCGTTTTGCTGTTGTTGCGTTTGTCGTCTCTCGATCGGTATGACCACTTTTTTCCTCGCTTTTTTCCCAATGTGCAAATCGGCGGGTGTCTCGCAATCGTTTTGCAGAAACGTTAATTGTATATGGGGAAAACTGTGCTCGTATATGTATTCGCACATCCGATCTAGGGTCAATGCGGTTGTTTCGATTCCTCCCTAAAGTAATGATCAAACGCTTGCAAAGATGAATTTCGAAAAAATTACCTCATCCTTGTACGCGTTTTTAGCCGAAAAGTGCGCAAGATAAATCGGCGACTCTTCCGCAAAATAATGACTCACGCAAAAACCGATTCACCGCTACTATTGAAATATACATCCAGGCGCTACTTGTATATATATATATATATATACATATATATACTTATACTTCGATGATTGCACATGAGCACATCATATCCTATATTTTTTCATTTTTAACCTGGTTCGGCTGGACTCGATCAAGCATTTACTCACATAAACACCAAATGGTGTGTGAGTGTTGGATGAGATCATGAGATGCGCGCATAGAGGTATAAGAATAGAGGGAAAAAGCGCTATTCTAGCCCATTAGCAGCAGCGACAGCATAATATAATTCAGTGTAACGGGGCATCTGTCCTTGTTGCCAAAGCCACGTTATTGGCTACTTCTTCGTCCTAAATCCTACAGTTGATTCAATCTCATGTAGGACTCAACCAATAACATAACTGCCAGACAAAGACAGATACCCCGTTACGTAGCGAATTCTGCTGTCACATATTATTATGCTCCCTTTTCTCCTCTATTCTTATACCTCTATGGATGCGCGCGATTGGAATTCGGAATTCGGATGCTGCAGCTGCTCCTGGCCTGAATCAGGCCGCCTGATGAGCTTTGATCATCGAGTATCGATACTATCGATTTGGCATTCGAGACTCATGTTAAGAGAGAGCTCGTGCGACGTGTGTGAATATACCTACATATACATGTTTGAATTTCGTGTGCTTGCAAATGCAAACTGTCACTAGTGTCAACGCGTCAACGGAAAACGCCGGCACTATAATACTTAGTATAATCTTGTACTTACAGTGGGGGGTAATTGCGTAAACCGGTGCTTGTGGGGTATTGTATATGTGGCGTCTCACATCTCTGAGCGTGAGAGTGTTACCTATAATTACCATATCAAACGACAAACGACGAAACGACAGTTATAAGTACACATGTATAAGTACGTATACAACGTAAATAGAACTTGTGCCATCATCTACAACAGTACCAGCACGTGAAAATAGTGGTAAATTAAATCTATGTGGAAAAAAAAGGATGAAGATGCGTTACTTACGTTTCCGCGGAAAAGCCGATTGAGTGATCGTT